TTTTAAGATTTTTTAATTTATACGTACAGAACTGAGGTACAGGCCAGAGGTGCAGGGGCAGTGAGAGGATTTGCCAGAGACAGAGTGGGGAGCAGAACACCCAGATCAACTGAAATACACTGCTGAGGGGAGCAGTGGACCAGACAGGAGAGGTCTGCTGCGTCATGTGGGTCACCTCCCTGGCTGGGGATCAAACTCAAACGAAGCGCTGCAGCTGGCTTCCTGTGCTGTGTCTTAACCTGTTGTGCCACTAGGACGGGCCCTTAAAATTCTTTTTTATAACTAACATCATGGATTGGATTGGAGTATGGTTTTGGTTACCTGTAATGCTTCCTTTATAAATGTTTAGGCTTTCTCTTAGGTCTTTGGAATGACAATAATTATTCATGCCTACATAGAAAAGTTATCTCTACAACCTAAAGATGAAATATCTTTGTTAAATTACTCTATATTCTTTCATCTTTACTCATTTAAACAGTAAAGACTATGATGGAAGGTTGATCCCACACCTCTGGTCACCCATTCCTTATTATGAAAGTGGAAAAAGTGGACCTATGTCTTTTCCAGTATTCCAATCCTGTGCTCTCTGAGAGTTGTTGAGTAGAAGGCATGGGTAAGGATCTCTTGTTAAAGCTTGGAGACCTGTACTGTGTCAGTGCAGTAACTTTAATGGTATCTTAGAATCCCAAGGACTTTATTCCTCCTCCTTCCTCTTCTCTGCTTTCATTGCCATGCTTAACAATCCCTGAAGGGTGTGAAAGAACAGTAGACCCAGTGCTGAGACCTCCCTCTTCATGTAAGAAGGACCGAGACACTCATCGAGGTCCAGTGTTTGTGTAGGGCTAGACTCAGGGCCCAGTCACTGGGCTGGGCCTGGAGGACCTCATGTGTCTGAATGATTGCTTCCTGTCTTTGTTCTATAGCATGTTTATTGTGGAAAGAACTTGGCTTTAGAACCAAGCAGAGCTGATTGAGAACCCAATTCCTATAGTCACTGGTTCTAACAAACTTAACCACCTGGCACCTGGGTTTCCTTTTCTGGAATTAGATAATGGTATGTAATAGGTGACTGAATGAGCCAAGAAGCTTTTAAGGCATCCCTAAAGAACGTGAAATAGAAGTTAACATGTTAACTTCTCCCCGATGGCACAGGGGTTAAAGTCTCAGTGCTATCAAGCTATCACCAGCTTCTTTGGCATGAGTTTAATCCCCTGCCAGGGAAGTGACCCACATGGCACAGCAGACCTCTCCTGTCTTTCCTGTCTTGCCTCTGCTCCCCTCAGCAGTTTATTTCAGTAGATCCATCTGTTCTGCTCCCACTCTCTGGTGTGTCCTCTCAGTCTCCCTCCCTCCCCACACCTCAGGCCTACAGCCCAGTTCTTATATGCATACATAAATAAAAATAAATATGAAAAAATCCCTGAACTTCTTGGTTCCTGCATTTGTGGGATTTTTTTTTTTTTCTTAAGGCTGCTTACTTGCAAGTCTTCTTTGGAAGAGTTGATCTTTCTTGTGGTTAATTATATATCTTTTAACCCTGGTTATTTTTGTTGTGTACTGAAACTGGGTTATAAAAATATACTTTGGGCTTCCCTGATAATACAAGGGGTTAGATTGCAGCACTGTGAAACTATCTACAGCCACTGTGGCATGAGTTCACGAGTTTGATCCCAGGCCAGGGAAGTGACCCGCATGGCGCAGCAGATCTCCTGTCTTGCCTGCTGCTCCCCTCAGCATTATATTTCAGATGCTCTGCTTGTTTTGCTCCCCACTCTCTGGTAAATCCTCTTCCTTCCCCACCCCCCTACCTCTGAACGTTAGCCCAGTTCTTGGATGCATAAATCTTTCTAAGTAAATAAAAATATACAGTTAGCCATGCAGGTAGAGAAAATAATCTAGTTTGTCCCTGCTTGGTGGTGAGACATGACATGTTAAAAGGAAGGCTATCTCCAGGGTTGGAGACTTTTTTTTTTTTTTTTTTTGATGTACCACATGATAGGTATGGTTTCTAGGCACTTGAGTGAGTTATGGGTAGGAAAAGAGGCTGAAAAAAGCAGCTATACCCAGCCAAGGGCAGGCAGTAAAAGCCACGGGCTTTGGTTATAGGGCACTATTTTGAAGGCATTCATAGAATCAAAACTACTATCTGAAAAGTTTTTGAGTTTTTAAAGTATAACTAGATGTATATGTTTTATATTGTTGAAATAAGGTCATGAATATGTATTTTTACAGTATATTCATAAACTGATTATACAATAAAAGTAGCTAATGGAAGAATACATTTTTAAAGTTTGGATGAGAAGTAATGAAATATTTTTGATGGTAGGCGTTCTTTAAGTTACTATTATAAAAATGTTATGTTATTCTAGGTACTAGATTATAATATTTAAAGAAGTTACTGTCAATTTGGAGTATTGTATAGTTTGATCTTACAGGAATGATTTTGAACAACATGCTTTATTAAATTTTACTAAACAATTGTATATAGGGTTTTTTTTAACTTTTTATTGGTGGAAATCAAACATAAAAAAAAAAAACTGGTATCATGAATCCCAACGTGTCTTTCACCCACTTTCAAAGGTTACCAGTTTCTGGTCAATTTTATTTCCATATTCTCCACTCCACATTGGGTTATTTTGAAGCAAATTACATGAATTCATCTGTGAATAGTATAAGTAATGATTTTATGTTGGCATTGCAGTACAAAGGTCCTGTCTCTCTGGTGCCCTTTGTAGTGTGTGAATGCCCTGCTTAGCATGACTGACACAAGAAGAGCTTGTTTACCCACAGGCTCTTGGGTGCAGCTTGCTGCCTCCCAGATGGCTGCTGCGTGGGAGAACGGCTGCCTGGCGCTGGCTCCCTTGACCAGTGAGCATCTGTGGCTTGTGTTAGCATCTTGTGGTCCTTACTGAAAGTTAAAATCACCATCCCTTTTCACTTCCTAGACATTGCTGGGATCTTTTAGACACTTAATGTATTGTGGTAGTTTAAAAATCTGGTAGTTTAAAAATCAGGCACCTCGACCACATGTTGCTTTCTGCTGAGTATTTGAGCCTTTTTTGGGTGGGATTTCTCAGTTATATGTGGAATTCCATGATGATTGCCTTCAGCTTCTTCCTGATGTGGCTTTTCTTATAACTGTGCTAAAATCACTGTTAGGTAGTAACTTAACTTTCCATCTTTTCTAGATCACACACGCTGCAATGTGTGGATTCTGGATGGAGACCTGTACCACAAAGGCCTGTTGAAGTTTGCAGTTTCTGCTGAATCGTTACCAGAGACCCTGGTCATTTTTGTTGCGGATATGTCTAGACCTTGGACTGTGATGGAATCTCTACAGAAATGGGCTAGTGTTTTACGTGAGCATATTGATAAAATGAAAATTCCACCAGAACAGATGAGGGAGCTGGAACGGAAATGTAAGTACAATAAAATTTTCTTAATTAGAACATTCACTTGTTTATTTGTATGGTTCCAACCAGCTTTTTTTTTTTAATGCTGTCGAGAGGCTAGAAAGCTTCCCTTGTGGAGTGTTGTGTTTTGTTTTCACCATTAATCTCAGAGTTGCACTTTTAAATTCAGTAATCAAAAAATACCCAAAGCAGTGTTTATCTCCAGTCTTCAAGTTAAAAGAAATAAATGAATCAGCACTCCTTATTATCTTCATTGGTTCTTTTTAAAATAAGCGTTCCCCTTCATCCCACAACATATGAGTGGTTCTGTGGGTCTTTTTTTGCTCTTCATTACTGTGTGCTAAGCTTGTATCAGTGGGTGTGGACACTTCCTGTGGTCTCTAGCATAATTTCGCTGCCCTGGAATTCCATCCAGGCACTGTGGACCCTCCTGCTGGCAGATTTAAAGGAAGCCCTGAAAAAGACAAACCTTTCATCTCCTACCTTAGTTCATTTTGGACTACAGTAGATGCAATTTTAGTTAGAAATAGAGGTCCTGTTGTGGGGTTTTTAAATGAAAGACTATTTTAAGATTGTGTACATCCATGTCCTTTTGAGAACAAAGATCTTCCAAATTAAAGGAAGTTTGTTTTTGTTTTTTTCCTCAAAGTGGTTTAGAAGCTTCTGTTTCCTTTCCCTGCTTCTGTGCAGTTACATCAGCTTCTGTCCACTTGCCAGGGAGTGGGAGGGCAGGCGGCGGCAGCAGCAGGCTCGGCTCGGGCTGGCTCAGGTCCACAGGCTGACATCATCCCCTTCCATGAGTGGATGAGGGCCTCTTGTCACAGGGATGCTCACGCTTCTTGGCAGAAGGGTTCAGGAATCTTGATGTACTTTTCAGAATAGACTTCTTTCTATCTTCCTGCCCTGGCTTCATCTTATACTTGTTTTACAGTGGCTAAACAAGATAGTTTAGCATCTCATTCTTTGGGGAGGGTTGTGTGTGTGTGTGTGTGTGTGTGTTGTGTGTATTGTGTAGTTTAGCTTTGGGGAGGGGTGTGTATGTGCATGTGTGTTTCAGCTTTGGGGAGGGGTGCGTCTGGGGTGGGTGTGTGTTTCCTGGGCTTCCCGCATGTGATTGTTATGCAGCTCAGCTCCTCTGTGATCAACCACTGACCTTTCTAGATAATGCTTCTTTTTTCCTCTAAAATAGAGACCCTATAGATAGCTTCTCAGAACAGTTGTTAGGCTGAGGAGCCGTTTTCTTTCTGCTGTACCTTTAGCGTCATTCCTAGATTAGCATCTTAAGACATCGGAGATTTCAACTTCTGCATCTATTTTCTTGGTTATAACCTTACAAAATTTTGTTAAGACATAAAAAGACTGAAAAAGTATGAGCCTACGCACCTAAATCATATACAGTGTTGTGAACCAACTTTGCCTCAATAGAAAGTAATTTAAAAAACAAATAACTGGGCCCTCCCTGGTGGCGCAGCGGGTTAAAGCACAGAACTGAGAATCTAAAACCGCTTCTGCATGAGTTCAATTCCCGCCTGCCCAGGAGGTGACCACATGGCGCAGCAGACCTCTCCTGACCCGCCCGCTGCTCCCCTCAGCAGTGTACTTCGTCAATCTGCCTGTTCTGCTCCCCACTCTGTCTCTGGTGAAGCCTCTTGCCACCCCTGAGCCTCTGACCTGTACCCCAGTTCTGTATGCACAAATAAATAAATCTTTAAAAAAAAAAAAAAAAACAAAAACTAAATTTGCTACCTGGAAAAAAAAAAAGAAACATAGAAAGTTTGAGCCAAGGATGTTGTCCCTTCCCAGACAGGGAAACTGCTTCTTCTGCACCAAGCGCTGGTTCCAGGCCTTAGGATCCACAGCAGACAAGATGTTTTCACTTGTGTTCCTCTGACATACCGAATTTACTTCATTAATGTCTGAGTCACTTAAGATTAGATTGCATGTGACACAAAACCCAGAATAACAGTAACTTAAGCAAGACTGAGCTGTATTTTCTCCTGTAAGTGAAATTCAGAGCTAAGCAGTTATGAAGTAGAGAGCAGCTAGGAAATCAGCTCAAGGACTCCAGTTCTTTTCTGCTGACCGCTTTGTCATCTCTCGGGGTGTGATTCTCTTCCTCCTGACAGCTTAGCGCTCTAGCCTTCACGTCTGTGAGTGGGCAGCAAGATGGAGGGAGAGGAAAAGCCGGAAGGGTGGATGCTGGTCTTGCTGAGGAGGCTGGGAAATGAAGTCTGTGTGGCCGTGTGTTCTGAGTATCAGGGTTCTGTTCGGGTTTAAGGAGGAAGAGGAGAAAGCATGCTGCTGAGCCGTGGCCATCGCAGGGTCCAGGTCCATGCTTCACCGCTGGTTAGCCTGCTCCAGGCCTCTCTTGCTTCTACTGCTCCTGCTGGGATTTTGTGTTGTTTGTTGAAGTGCTTTCGTTAGAGCAGACTTTGGGTTACATTTTAATAAAACAGGTGACCATCCTGTTGCTCAGAGGCCTCCCACTTTCTACATTAATTGGAGTCTAGGTGCAGTGTTGAGTCAGTGAGGGGCCAACAGCCGGCCTTGTTTCCAGTCCAACCCAGTCTCCAGTCTGCTGGCTTTGGAAAGGTGCCCCAAAGCGGGCCGCTCTCTTTCGGGGTTAGACTCCCAGGGGGCCTGGCACTGTGGCAGGCCACCTCTGAGCATCTGAGGGAAGAGCAGAGCAGCCCCGTGCTGCCCGAGGTCTGCTCTTACCAGGTTGGCCGTGTCTTTTGCCTCCTGCCTGGGACGTCCTTTGCTTACTTGAAGAAAAAGTTTAGGTATTGTCTGTGGGTCTGTGGCTTCTTGGGACTTTGGAACCGATGGCTGATTACTGAGGCAGGAGGGAAAAGAGGAGAAGGCGGCGCCAGCAGTGTGGGTACAGTGCTCTGCTCTCCTACCCGTGCCCATTCCCTTCGGATGCGAAAGGGGGCCTGGTGGGCTGATGGCCCCTGCTGTGATCCTGGCCTCGCCCTCTAGAGAGAAATTGTTAACACTCTATTGTGTATGTGGAACGAGGGAAACACGCTGATTATCTCAGTGACACAGTCCTCACTCTGTTTAATCTTTCCCTTTCACTAGCCTGTTTTGAACATTTGCTTTCCAACCTATTTTCCAAAAATGCTGAGTTATTAAGGAAAAATGTGTGACTTCCTGCTGCTGCTCAGCCATTCCTTCAGAGAGTGCTTACCTGACCCAGCACCCCGGCCGTCTTCACACAAGGCCCAGGTAGAATGAGCCAGGGTTTGTAGCACACTGGATATGGGGGTTCACAAAGCAGACTCCCTGGGCCTCCCCACCCTAAGCAGACTCCCACAGTCTCTTAGTTCACCTGTTTGCTGTTCAGACTGCCGAGCTCACTGTCTTGGAACCCCTGATTGAGTGCCTCATATGATCTGCCCTAGACACTCAAGCCATTGTGTTTGTCATTGATTTATTTGTTAAAATGCTTTTAAAGAGGAAATGTGAGAACCTTTGATTTCTTCAAAATCTTTCAACAACTGCTGAGACTAGGAAGTCCTCCCTCTTTTTGTCTAAAATGCAGTAAAGATCTCGAATTTATTTATATTGGCAATGAAATTATATGAGTAAACTTAACTAAAGAGAAGTTGTAGAGATGAATGTTTTGTCTGTAGAATGAATGTTAAATCTACACGTTAAAGCTTAGTGAATTGGCTTCAAACATTTGCTCATTATTATAAAAAAAGCCACTGAGCACCCAGGTAATTCTAGAAACTCACGTGATGATAACCTAAAACCTGTAAGTTAAAATGTGTTGTTTTAAATATTTGACACCTGTCTAATGGGTGAAGAAGAGTATGGGTGCCTTTCTCAGGTATGTGCACTGTGTGAGGAGCTTGGTGTGGGTGAGAGCAGCCTTTTGGTCCTCCACGCCTGTTGGGTGTCGGGTAGCGGCTGCTGTGGCTCCTGTGGCTTTAATCGTCATGTCTTGTTCTTTGGCCTCACTGGTGCCCACAGAAAGGTGCAGGTCTGTGGACTTCGTGGTCCCTTGACTTCGGGCCGTGGCTGACCACTCACCCGAGGGCCCTTCTGTGGGCATGCTCCCACGAATGAAGCAGTGACTTTATGTGCCGAAGTGGGCAAGGTACCAGCGACCACTCCTTGTGTTAGGCTGGACAGGACTGCGAGCCTGCACCTGTGACTCAGGATCGCGCAAAGAGGAGCCCAAATACCCAAAGCGAGGGAACGAGGAAGTTCGGGTGCTGCAGGCCTTGTCCGGCGCCAGCCCTGCTGCTCAGCACCTCAGCAGGTTCTTTTAAGGACTCAGGTGGTTTTCTGATGCGGACGCCAGAGGAGTTGCGACTTTCTAGTCATCTCTGTGCAATAACACAGTTCTACTTTTCTGATGTTTTGAAAATGTAAGCCATGTGAGTGGTAGAAACTATTTCAACAGCTCAGCCTTAGCAGTCTTTAAAAAACTATTTAAGAGGCGGACACAAGTGAAGCCTTCCGAGGAAGGTCTTTGCTGCTCTGAAGCTGCGGTGCTTGGACACCATGTCAGGATTGGTGTTTTCCTAATCCCTTGTATCACGGTAGATTATGACTGGGAAGTTTGTGCTCGTTACTACCTTTTCCAGTTCCTAAAGCTGGAATATATGTTTTTATTTATGTGTGTGCATAATTTTCCTTTTTCTCCTGTAGTTATGAAAGATTTTCAAGACTATATTGAACCTGAAGAAAGTTGTCAAGGCTCCCCACAGAGAAGAGGGCCTCTGACGTCAGGACCTGATGAAGAGAACGTTGCCCTGCCTCTCGGCGACAACGTGCTGACTCATAGCCTGGGGATCCCTGTGGTGGTGGCGTGCACCAAGGTGTGTGCGGGCCCCGGAGGCATGGCTGGGTTGGCTGGTGAAAACCGCCGTCTGAAAGGACGTTCCGGGAGCTTTGATTAACGCTTTTTAGAGATCTTTGAGTTGAGCTTGTTCTGAGCTGATGGCGGAATCATGAGGCTAGACAGCGCTGTCATTGGCAGTGCGCTGCAGAGGCCGGCGCCTGGCGTGCCTGTGCCCGGGGGGTGGGCACTCAGAACTAGGCGCAGTTTTTTTAAGACTGTATAAACATGTTCTTCTCGCCTAAACTAATGGTGAAAAAACAATGTAGAGAAAGAGCAGAATCTTTGGGGCTTTTGTCTCCTAAGTTTGTTGGACTCGTCATTTTCAGAAAGGAACATAACACCCCTAGGGGAAAAAGAATGGGAACTGAAGGTTTGAGTTTTTCTACCCTGCAGAATAATGAGGTGAGAATGGAAGTTCACTTATATAGAAATAAACCTATGCGTGGGGCCTCACGGTGGCACAGGGTTAAAGTTTCAGCTCTGTGAAGCTGCCGCAGCCACTGCGGCAGGAGCCTGATCCCCGGCCAGGGAGCTGACCCACGTGGTGTAGCAGACCTCTCTCTTGCCTGCTGCTCCCCTCAGCACTGTATTTCAGTACAACAGCCTGTTCTGCCCCCCACTCTCTGGTGAACCCTCTTATCCCCACACCTCTGGCCTACACCTCAGTTCTTGTATGCATAAATAATGAAATCGAAATAACGATTTTTTTTTTTAAAGTGTCTTTTACAAAAGGTCGTGGGGGTGGGGGAGCCTTTAAAAACAGTGGGTTTCAGACACACTTTATTCCCTATCAGAATCCCTGGGTTGTCTGACGCCATGGGGGCCTGTTTCCTGATGGAGCAGTGCTGGGGTGATCAGGCCTGTTGGCCGTGGACAGATGCGGAAGCCAAGACCCAGAGGAAGGGTCGCAGTTTCCTGTTGCCTTTCACACTCGTCTCTGTAGTTAGTGCTTGGCCTTTGCTGTAGCTTTCATCTATGAGCCCAGATACTTTGATGTTTGAAAAAGATGCTGTTTCCATTCTCAGCAGGCAGGGGCAAAAAGATGACGCTTCTCGTTCTGTCTTTCCTGCAGTGCGACGCGGTGAGTGTCCTGGAGAAGGAGCACGACTACAGGGATGAGCACTTTGATTTCATCCAGTCTCACCTTCGGAGGTTCTGTCTCCAGTGTATCCTTGGGGTGCTGTGCTGGGGTCCTGGGTCATAGGCTGTCCTCTCTTTGTGCTAATCCGGGCTTCCTTCCACATGGGCATCTTCAGAGAAAGCACTTCCTGAGTCCAGGATAGTCTTCCGCCAGGGAGGAGTTGTCTACATCTTTTTATTAGTTTTATATTTTACTTCATTGGCCTTTGAGACTACCAGCCCGCCTGTCTTTGATCATTGTAATTTTTAATGCTGTGCATTTGCTAGGTTTCTGTATTAAAAAGAAAGTTGAGATGTGGTCATGTTGTTTATGGTAATTTTATCATATATTAGAAATCTTAAACTTTGCATTTTTGCGGTAAAGATTACCCAGCACAGTTTTGTTTTAGATGCTACAAATGTTTCCCCTATATTTGTATTTTGCTATTCACGAAAAGATGCTGTGTCAGAGGTCTCTTGAGTGGTTTCTGCAAAAACCCAGATGCAGCTGATGCCATAGTCTCGCACCCTGGAGTGGGGGTGGTGGGATGAGTTCTTCCCCTCTCAGCTTTTAGCTTGGCTAACCCAGTAGAGGCCGCCGGTACATGTAGTTGTCCATCTCTCTTACAAGGTGTGCTTAAAGATACACTGGACATCTGCCTGGGTAGATATGAGTGTTTCCTGGCCAGAGCCATTAACATGACTACTGGGACGCAGCCTGCTGGGTCAGAAGAGGCGTGTGCTGTTCCGAGCGAACTGCACAGCCCGACAGCGACCGCAGCGCGCATGCTGTTTCTGCCCTGGCTCTGCTGTGACCTGGTTAGATTTAGGTCTCTTAGCACTCTGTTCGCGAGTTGATCAAAAGCTGATCAGCCTGTGTGTGATACTTTGAGGATTGTGCTTGACTGTTTGCTTATGTCTCCTGCAGTGAATTGGTTTTCCTTAGCATGCTGATTAGATGGAGCCGCCTTGATTTACACATCGGTGAAAGAAGAGAAAAACCTCGATTTGTTGTATAAGTACATTGTCCATAAAACATACGGTTTCCACTTTACCACACCTGCCTTAGTTGTGGAAAAGGATGCGGTTTTTATGTAAGTTTTTATAAGTGATGCTTTCAAACTTTTTTTTTTTTTGTATTTATAGTACATTTGCTTTTTACGTCTTTCCAGATAACGCCTGCCTCTCATGGCCAGCTGTCTCTTGCCTTGTAGCAAAGTGCTTGGGCTAGACCTCCTATGATAGATACCCCAGCTTTCCCTCACGTTCCTTTCCAGATAATCGTTATTTTTCAGTTGAGAGGAGAGGGTGGAGGTCAGGGCACTGCCTTTTTTCATTGCGAGCAGGTTGCCCAACTAGTTTTCCATCTCTGTCACTCATAGTCAATCTTGTAGAATACTGGTGGGGAAGGGTGATGAAATGTAGGGAATTGTAGTCACCCTCGTGGGCACCTTAATCTGCAGAGGCTTTGGCTGTATGGAATGTTCATTGTGACTCTAACATTTCACATTTTGGGATTCTCTGGAGTGGACTATCCCGGATAGAGACTTGGATATTTGCTTGTCCAAATTTGTATCTTTCTCTCACTAGAGAAAGTTGAATGTTGGAGTTGCATAAATAAATGGGGCAGGGGGTTGAGGCACAGTGCTATGGAGCCATCTGCAGCCATGCAGCCCAAGTTCAATCCCTGGCCAGGGAACTAGCCCACATGGTGGGGCAGACCTCTCCTGTCTCGCCCACTGCTATCCACAGCAGTGTATTTGGTTCATCTGCCTGGTGCGCCCCACTGTTTCTGGTGAATCCTTCACCTCCCACGCCTCTGGTCTATACCCCAGTTCTTGTATGCATAAATAAATAAATCTTTTTTTTTTTTTAATTTATTTATGCACACAAGAACTGGGGTATAGGCCAGAGGTGATGGAGCAGTGAGAGGATGCACCAGACAGAGTGGGGAGCAGAACTGGTGGATTGACTGAAATACACTGCTGAGGGGAGCAGTGGGCGAGACAGGAGAGGTCTGCCCCACCATGTGGGTCGCCTCCCTGGCTGGGGATGGAACTCATGCTGAAGCAGCTGCAGCTAGCTTCTCAGTGCTGCACTTAAACCTGTTGTGCCACCAGGGAGGCCCCAAATAAATCTTTTTAAAGAATATAATGGATGGGACCCTGGTCTCTTAGAGGACTTGTGAAGTAGACAGCTACTTAGGCTTAGACAGCCTCTTGATTTATAAGAGAATTGCAGTTGTTCTTTCAGCAAGTACTGAGCCTACTTCCAAGTGCCCAAATTCCACGCGGAGGACACAGGTCAATGAGATGTGATCACTGCACAGGACCCTGGAGGGGAGGGCGGCTGTGGGCTGCTAGAGGCAGTGTGGCAGGGGTGGCCGGAGGTGGTGAGGGAAAGAGGAATGGTATGTTCCGGGCCGAAGGGGCTGTCTCTAAGGAGCCTAAAAGTGAACCTTAGAGTGATTAAGAGAATCCTTGAGCAGAGCGGTGGGCTTGCATCAGAGACACACACACAGTGGTGTGTTTAGAGGTGGGCCAGTGCTGAGCTCACCTGTGGTCCCGAGAAGCGAGAGGAGCAAAGGCATTGTGGGAGTGGAGCTGGCCTGGAGAGAGCAGCATCTCGCAGCCTCTGAGGCTGCAGGGGTCTCAGTGTTACTTGTCTTGCCCTCTCCTGTGCCTTCTCCCTTTGGGCCGTTGTTTCCTGTTCGGGATCTGGTGACGTCGGCCATTTAGGTGGTGCCCTGGGTGAGCACCGTCCGGGCTGTAGGGCCACGGAGCAGGAGTTATGTCATGTAGGCCATTTACAGTGGGAACCATGGGCTGCAGATTAACTTACTGGAACCTAGGTACACCACAGTGCGCTGTGACGGGCAGCGCCCATGTGGGAGCCTCAGGCACTCCTGCCCGTGGGTTCCAGACCTCGATACTGCTTGGCGCCAGTGTCCATCTTCCCACACCGGCAGAATTACTGAACCAATCGTCAAGCATAATGTCATCAGAAAGAAGCAATTTCAGAGAAGCAGCCCACAGGAGGGGTTCCTCCTGCCAAAGCCGAAAGAAACAAGTGCATCTTGAGCTCTTTCTGTGCTGCTCTCTGCATTCTCTGCTGTCAGAACAGAGCCCCATTGCCTCTGTGCTCTTCTGGGTTGAGTTGTGGACACTCGTGTGGGCCGTGTGTAGTCAGAGCACACACTGGCTCCTTACTCCCTGAGCCCTGTGAGCGCAGTATGTCTCAGGACCTGTGATGTCGCTGGCATGGGGTCACTGGGCAGCGAGTCACGGCTCCTCAGCCAGCCCTAGCAGCTGCAGGCAGATCCCGTGGGGAGGGTCTCACCCAGGGGCCCGCTGTGAGCCAGAGTGTGCTGTGAGTGTGCTGCGGAGCAGCCCAAGTGCAGGCCTGTGAATCCGCCTCCTTGCCTTTAGACCTGCGGGCTGGGACAATGAAAAGAAAATAGCTATTTTACATGAAAATTTCACAACCGTGAAGCCAGAAGACACATATGAAGACTTCATTGTGAAGCCTCCTGTGAGAAAGGTACCCAGATCACTATAGAATTGTAGAATTGGGGTGAGTGTGTATGTGTAATAAGTGTGTGGGGAAGAAAATCAGATGTAATTTACACATTAAATTATTTGGGGGGGTGTAATTCAGAGACCAAAAGGCTTTAGATGGAGTCTGGTGCTACAGAAATGCTCTGGGCAGTGGTAATGGAGGGACAAAGGGAGTTGGGGGAGTTTCCCATTTAGGTCCCCACGCTGCTGCTGCTGCTGCTGCCTTTAGGCCACTGTTGGTAGCGCCCCTCCCCCTGTGATCTGCAGACGGTGCGGGGGGGGGGGGGGGGTTGGAGCTAGCCTTGACGGAGGGCCACCTGCCGGGGCTGCCACCTGCCGGCGCTGTCTTCGAGGGTCAGTGCCAGACCAGACCGAGTGAGCACAGCTCTGCAGGCTCAGCAGACACCACCTCCCCCAGATTCATGTTAGACATGTGCCCAAGGTCCTTTCAGCCTCAAGTCTGGTGGCGTTCTGGGTTTCTTGACCTGTCACCACAAACTAGTGTGTGGCTTCCCTTCACAGCTGGTCCACGACAAGGAGTTGGCAGCGGAGGATGAGCAGGTGTTTCTAATGAAGCAACAGGTGAGAACACTGGGGCCAGGGCAGAGGACCCCCCTGCGGAAGTGCCAGCTCCCTGGGGCAGATGGGGGGGGGGTCATAAGAGCTCGCAGCATTAAAAGGTTTGCCACTGGTCTCTTTTTAGGGTTGGTAGAGCAGGGATTACAGCCCTTCCTCAGGAGAGGCCTGCCTACCTGCAGAGCTCCTGTAGGGAGTGGGACTTCCACGTCCATGCCCTTTCTCTGGAAAGGCTGGCTTGCTGGCGTAATTACTCCTGTGTTGACAGTCCACTAGGTGCCCTGACCGCCCTTCCGTTATTTCCTTTATCCCCACACGGTCCTGGCAATACAGCAGGGGAGCTGATACACTTATTTGGTAGGCGAGGAAAGTAACTTCCCCAAGCTCACAGCTCAGAATGCAAATCCGGTCTCCCCTCTGGTGTTCCACTCCAATTGTTGGTCCCCTCATGGGTGTGCCTGATGGTGCAGGCAGGCCAGCGGGGGGGTGCTGATGGTTCTTTGCCAGCAGTTCCTCCCTCCTGTGCTCTTGCTTCCTTGGCTTCAAAACTGGTATTTGACGTATTATTTTTCACTGTATACCGAACTTCACATTTGACTTTCTCACACTGAAAGTGTGAAGCCTGTGGCGATTGTCAATGGTGCCCTCTAGTGGAATCTTGGGAGGAAGTGTTTCTCCAGAGCTTCCGCGCACTCTGCGGGCCTTGGGTAATGGCCAGTGTGTCCCTCTCTTTGCAGTCACTCCTTGCCAAGCAGCCAGCCACGCCCACGAGAGCCTCCGTGAGTACCTAAAACTAAACCGAGGGTCAAGGCCCAGTGTCTTCAAACTTTATGCCATTATTTGTGAGCGCTTAATGTTTGTGTGGACTTTGTAATCTGGTTTCCCTGAAGGTCCAGGGTCAGGAACATAGTAGGAACTCAGCCACTGTCTGATGCAGGAGCACAGCTCTGGGAGTTAGAGCAGCCGCTGTTGTCATCTTGATGTCACTTCTTGCAGAGAAACAGATCTAGAGAAGGACTGAACTGGAAGCAAACTCCCAGTCCTGCCGCCCTTCTCCCTAGACTGCAGAAGCATGTCTTCATTTTTGGGATTTGTATTTGTTATTCTTATGCCTGTGTGTGACTTGGCCCGGCTTTGGATTTAGGAATCCCCTGCAAGAGGACCCTCTGGCTCTCCAAGGACCCAGGGCCGGGGAGGACCAGCCAGTGTACCTAGCGCCTCTCCTGGCACGTCAGTAAAGAAGCCAGATCCAAACATCAAAAGTATGTATCTTGTCTCTGGAGAAAGGCTGAGGCAGAGTGGCTGGGTTAGAGGGTTGAGCTCAAGGAGCCAGTCTTTCTCTTCCCCAGGAAGCTGCCTCCCCCTGCCCTGCGCTCAGGGGACGGCGCCTCAGCTCAGCAGGACCTGGGCTTAGTCCTCCTTTGGAGTCCGCATTTCCCACTTTGCTTTTCTTATCCAGGTTGTCTAGAGTCCTTCAGAGAGGAATATACTTTAAGTGTATAAGTCACTTTAAAGTGTATGCTTAGAGTCCTTAATTTTGTTTCTCATTATGTGTTTATTTCTACTTACGAATTATGCACTTCCCCCTCACGTCTCCTGTCAAGTGCAGTTAGTTATTACTCTTAGTAGCTATTCCTGTGACTTTTATTGGCTGCAATAAAAGCCTCAAGACAGAAATGTTATTTAATTCTTGCACACTTGATGGGGATCTTCTATCAAGAATGAGAGCTTTTCACAGTAGCTTTGGAGAGTTAAGAACTTATAAACTTGTGGGAGATACTGCCGCATGGGCAAGGAAATGATGTGGCACTTAGGTGTCTGTTACGCCGACAGACAGGCAGGACATACACGGAGGTTTACACTTAGCCGTGTGGAGAGAGAGAAGAATCATGGCACATAGTGTGCAGAGTATGCTGGGACGGAGGGAGCCGTAGTGGGTAACTCCAGCTGGAATTAGATCTCTGTTTGTCTTATTGCTTACGTGATACTTTTTTCTTCCTGTTTCCTTAGATAATGCAGCAAGTGAAGGAGTGTTGGCCAGCTTCTTCAACAGTCTGTTGAGTAAAAAAACAGGGTCTCCTGGAAGTCCTGGTGCTGGTGGGGTGCAGAGCACAGCCAAAAAGTCAGGTACTACAGGGCCCTTGACCTGTGACTCCTGCGCTTGAACAGCGGTGGCAGGTGGGGCGGCGGTCGGTCGTGTCTACTTCCACTTGACCTGCACACCTCTTCGTTTTGAACAGCCAAGCAAGGAAGCCAGGCTTCACTTTATGCTCACTAAAGTGGGCTAGGCACATTCGCATTGCCAGGGGTCTGACTATTGGCCGAGTTGAGATACAGCCAAAGGCACACGCGTGCCCTGCAGCGGAAGCTCTCTCTGGCTGTGGCCTCGGCTGTGCCGGGGGCACTAAAGTTATTCTGGTTAATGTTCTGTGATGCTCTGCAGGGACTACTGGGCCAAGATGCCCTGGCCCCTTGTCTTATCTTGGGTTGGAGCCTCTGAACCTTCACTGTCTCACTAGAGGGTCATCATTCCTTCTCCCTGAAGCTCCCTCACATATACCCCACTCTGGTGGCCCACTCACATGTCTTTCACTGGACACAGAAGAACTCCCTACTTTGGAAATTACACCATTTCCTGGAAATTTGAGCCATTTTAAAAACATCTTTGCTATTTATTTTTCCACTGGCAATAAGGCCTGTTAATGTACCACTTACTCTAAATTGGTGTTTTCAAATCAAAAATGACCCTGAGAAGACCCCTCTAACCTCACCTCAGCCTGGACTTTGAGTTCTTAGAGACTCAAGAGTCTGGTCTAGTGACCCAGGCTGTAGACTGAATAGGGGTCATTTCTTTCTTTCTTTTTTTTTTTTTTTTAAAGATTTATTTATTTGTACATACAGAACCGGGGTACAGGCTAGAGGCTCAGGGGCGGTGAGAGGCTTCACCAGAGACAGAGTGGGGAGCAGAACAGGCAGATGGACGAAGTACACTGCTGAGGGGAGCAGCGGGTGGGTCAGGAGAGGTCTGCCACACCATGTGGTCACCTCCGGGACAGGCGGGAATCGAACTCATGCGGAAGTGGCTTTAGCTTCTCAGTGCAGTGCTTTAACCCGCTGCGCCACCAGGGAGGGCCCCTTTTTTTTTTTTAAAAGATTTATTTACTTATGCATACAAGAACTGAGGCACAGACCAGAGGTATGGGGGTGAGAGGATCTACCAGAGACAGAGTGGGGAGCAAAACAGGCAGATTGATGAAGTACCCTGCAGAGGGGAGCAGCAGGTGAGACAGGAGAGGTCTGCTGTGCAGATCACCCCACTGGCTGGGGATCAGACTCATGCTGTCATGTAGTTAAAGGCACCACTCATGTTTGGAGTTTAGAAGGGTTGGTTTAAGGTCTGTTTCTCCTAATCATTGCAATGAAGAGAGAGCTTTATAGAGGTTATCATTGCTATAAATGATTTCAGAAGTTGGTAATTTAAATGTTCCAAGTTCTTACCTGTTCCCTCATCACTATTGCTCTCTTTTTTTTCCTTCAAGGACAAAAAACTGTGTTGACAAATGTTCAGGAAGAATTGGATAGAATGACTCGAAAACCAGACTCCATGGTAACAAACTCTTCAACAGAAAACGAAGCCTGATCCTCCTTAAAAAGTGCATATGTAAAATGACCAAATAACTATGTATATTGATCTGCTAAGACCAGGATTTTTCTGATATGGCACATGCACATGCTATCAGTTTTTCGGGGCAGGGGAGATGAACTTTAAAAAAAAAAAACAAACTACTGCATTGGCTTGTCCGAGTGTGAAATGCACATTTAGGAAGGTTACGTGTCAGACCCTTTGTCAGGAATCACCCTTGGACTCTCGGGCATGTGGCTGTCTTCGTGGGAAGCAGGTGCCGCTGGGCTTCTCATGCAGGGCGGGGCAGGTGGAGAGAGGCCCGTTTTCTTTCAGGGTGGAGCAGTTGAGACCAGGAAACCATGGTGGTTAGTCTGACCAGTTGTGTGTTAGCAAATTCACTTGTTCTTGGGAAGCAGATTAAGTAGCAGAAAGTCCAGGAAAGAGAATGACCAAAAGGAGGATTGAGAAGTGATGGTGGGGAAGCTGAAAGTTGAGGGACGTGGAGGAAAGAAGAAGTGAGCAGTGTGGCTGACTCCTGTGTGTTCAGTAGAAGTCGCTCATTTTTAAGACTTAAAAAATCAGAGGCATTTCAGACTAAACACTGAGAATAATGGAAATAAGACTTCTTCTGAATGCAGCTCTAACTTAACAAAAGATCTGTTAAGTGGGGGGTGCCTGAGTCAGATGGAGGAGACATGGGTGTGGGAGATGGCAGCTGCCCAGGACTCGTGTTCTGGGCCCAGGTCATGTCCTTGTGAGGTGCTGGCCCGCGGCCTGTGCCCGGGGCGGACGGCCACTGTGGGGTGGTTAAAGACAGCAGTTGCAAAATTAGTTTACTTTGAATTGTGTCTTCTAAATAGCTCCTGCTTTGTTTTTTAAATTAAAAACTTTTTTTTACTACCACAAACCAGCCTACTAATAGCAAATGGGTAACCAGCTCTCGTTTTGCCATAAGGCAGTGTGCTACAGAAAGGTGGGGGGTAATTTGATTGCACTCTGATTAATTGGCTTGCACCATGTGGAAACCTGTGGAAACCTTCACGGAGGCCCATTGTGTAAAGGTTCTCGTCCCTGTTCCCTGGTCTGATCAGTGCTGTCAGATAGACAAATCAGTGTGAGTGTTTTATACTGAAAATGGAAATGGCACATTTCTCTTGTTTTGTGTTTTTCATGAAATGTAGCATTTTTTTGCTTAAGGAAATAAGAGTTTCAGGTGTCTCCATTAAGGGCAAATTCATGCACATTGTCATGTCACACCACCATTCTAGAAATTACTTCTGTGGATTTGAAATGGCACTTTTAGTTTTATACGTGACACAAAATATTTAAATGTAAACACTACCATGAATTTAATGTATGAACCATTTGTTGTCAAAGCAAGGGAAAACCACCATTCACTTATGTGGAGTTTACTTTTTTATATGAATGTTTGTTGTACTGTGTCTAAGCATAACTTCCCTAACGTCACTACTTTTACATACCAGATTTGACTGACCACTAACCTAGCGCTGGGCATAACTTCATACCTGTGTTATGTAACAGACTGTAAGACAGTCTGAATAGCTTTTTTTTGTAAAGGTCGAACACTGTTAAGGAGAAAGCTGAGTATTTACTTACCTTTCTGACAAATACAACATGTTTCTTGTGCCAGTTTTATTATTGAAGATCTACTTCCCCACTTTTGAAGTTTTTTTCTTTTTTGTTTTTTAAATGTCTTGTGGCTTTCCTGTAACCGGTGTCCAGGTAATGACAGTAAACTGACTGGAGTGATGTGGGTAGTGACCAAGAGGTGCCAGGCAGCTGTGGTGGCTGCACGAGCGGGTGTCGTTTTCTCCCTCTGTACTGGTGCAGGGGACAGAATAAGTGACCTCACAGGGTAAAACTCTTGGAAAGGCACGTGCTCACAGGGAGACTGTGTGATGTGAACTTTTTTTGGTTTCTTTTGTTCGTTTAAACTGATAAGCACTTTTTGTGTTAATATGAGATGTACTAAAATTGATGAAATGCTGAAAACATCTGTCTCACGAAGGAGTTCTTAGAAGATGGTTTTTAGTTTCTCACGACAAGTGGATGAATAGTAGCAGAAGAATCTGATGTATAGTATCATTTGCTCAGTGGTTGCCAAAGTCTATACCAACTTTGGGGGAGCTGCAGGGGTCTTTTTTGGGTGTGGGGGGAGGAGAGACCTTTTTTTGGTTTTTTTTGAAGTTTTCAAGCATTGGAACCAAAGGCCAAACAATAAACAGCCTTTACTTTTTAAGGTAAAATTCATTTTATTTGCAGAATACACTTATTTGACACTGTTGAAAGATATTTTTGTGACTCTGTATACATTATGGTGGTTACATCCGCTGTTTGTCTTTAAAATGGAGAAATCAAAGAAATAAGCCCAACCTTGAAGATGGGCCTTGAAGGCCCTGAATTGGTCTTTCCTAAAAATGCAATGGGTATGCTGCTAGAATTATTTAATTTTGTTTGCACTTTTTTTTTGATTGGCTTTTAAAATCAGTATTTAAACTGAAGAGACTTGTTTTATTAGTTTAACAAATTGAAAGTGACTGCTCTGTACATCATGACCTTAGCAACGTTGATGCTGTAGGTGAAAGTTCACTGTTGTCGCTCTAAGTTCATTGGTGTTTTAACTTAAAATGAGGACTGCAGGTTATTCCCCCACCAGCCTTAGTCCAGGGGTGTGGCTCTATCTGGACCAGTATGCAGTCATGTGGAACCTTGCTTTTTAGTGCTGGAAAAGATGTCTCTAATTACTGGCTTCAATAAACATGAATCCAGACTGCTTATAATTTTGGGTGAGTTTCTTTATATTATCCTATTACAGCTACATTGAATTGTCTGCTAATCACATGGGGTATCAGACCATGAATCTAAAAATGTATACCTCTCTCACTTGAAATTACTAGAAATTCAGGTAAAGAAAATACATGTATCGTGTATCCTGTGTCGTGTATCGTGGGTGTGCGTGACTTGAACAACAGAAATTTATTCTCATAATTCTGGCAGCTGGAAATTGGAAGTCAAGGTCCATACCCAGAGTGGGTTACTTTGGGGGCCTGTGAGCAGGCTGTTCCCTTGGTCCTCTTCATCGTCGTTCTTCTGGTGCTTACTGGAAACCCTTGGCATCCCGGGCTCACAGCTCATCACTCCAGTCTGCCTCTGCATCACATGACTTTCTCCTTGCATGTCATGTGCCTCCAAACCTTTCTGTCTTTATCAGGGCCCTGGTCATTGAATTTAGGGCTCATCTGAGTCCAATCACCTCTTGAGTGTAGCTGCACAGGGTGCATTTCCTTACAGGGATGGGGTTGGGTCGTCAACAGATCTTTGGTATGGTAGAGACACAGGGGGTTGTCTTCTTACACTCTTCTGGATTCATCTAGCCTTGTGCTCCTGGCATTTATTCACCATCTTTGCCCACTGGTCATTTGGTCAGTGGACAAAAAAATCTTAAAGCCCTATTAGAGGTATGTGGATTTCCAAACTGGGTAAAGGGCAATGGCGTTTGTGAGTTGTCACAACATTTACTCAGTGCCTCTGCATGTGGCCTGAGCTGGGTATGGGCTGTAAAAAGCGTGAATGTCTTGCACACATCACTTCATTTCTGGGGGTGTGTCTTCGGGCAGATTCCCAGCAGTGAGACCACCACCTCATCAAAAGGTAAGTGTGCAGCTTTGTAAGATGCGATCGAAATTCCACTGTAAAAGTACCCTATTCTCCACAATGTGTCAGCCATTGTGCAATTTATTAGTTCATTGTTATGTTTTGCCTTAAAATTGGATTTAGGAAGTTGGTGAACAAAACAAATTTGGAGGATTATGTTACCTGATGACATCATACTAGCAAGTTCATTAACTCTAGACGTTTACATAATTTGATGTAATCTTCCCAACAATGCAGTGAGACAGGTATGCTGTAATCCTGTGTTGGTCTCCAGATAGGGAAACTAGGGCACAGAGAGACTAGAATTTGGTCAGAGCCAGAAGGGAAACCCAGGCAAGTTTGCCCTAACCATGCTGCTCTGTTGGCGTTCACTGTGTATTTATAGCATTGGGAAAGTTGTTCAAGGGAGTTGTTTTCTGTGGGTCTGTAGCTTGTTCTGCCTTTACCCCTCCTGCCCAGGGAGTAAAAGCAGCAGGAGGAGGAGGAGAGAATATACTACACGGTGCAGGGGTGGGGATGGCCAGAGTCCCTCGCTGAGCCTGGAGGTGTCTGGTCTGCTACTTCCCATCTTAGGGGAACCATTGCCTCTGGGCATGTACAGCTTGAGGGTCACCTGGCAGGCCCTGACTCCATGTGCAGAATGTTTGTAGGAGGCCAGCTTGTGTGTGGTCTGCATGGGGGCGCTCACACACACTGCTGGGTCACTCTGGATCCCCTCTCCTTCCCCTCTGGATTTTGAGCAGCACAGAGCACAGCTAGGATGTTGGGGGCCTTATGGACTCTTGTGAATTCTAATCCTGATGGTTTTGTCTCACAGAAGTCCCATTGCTTTTGCATTGGGCATGAGAAACTGATCAGGAAGCAGAACAAGAAAACAACCAAAATTGGGGAAATTTATTCTCAGGTTTCCTTTCTTTAAAATGGGGGTAAATTTTCTTTCCAGTCATTATGATTATTAGTGGAGGTTCCGTGTTCCTGGCAAGTGATAGGTCTCCTGTGTGATTGTTGACTTGAAAAAATGAAAGAAACGGGCCCTCCCTGGTGGCGCAGCAGGTTAAGGCAAAGCACATTGGAGCTATCCGAAGCCAGTGCAATGTGAGTTCTGTCCCCAGCAAGGGAGCTGACCCACATGGCGCAGCAGACCCCTCCTGTCTCAACTGCTGCTCCCACAACAGTGTGTTTGAGTTGATTTGTCTGTTCTGCTCCTCACTCTGGTGAATGTTCTCACCACCGCCCACACCTCTGGCCTGTACCCCAGTTCTTGTATGCATAAATAAATCTTTTAAAAATATATATAGGCAACTCCTAAATAATACTGTTCCAGCAACCTTCTTTGTTCCTCTGGAGAATCTGTCCTTCCCAGTTGTGACATTTCAGAGTCTGTACTTTAAATATCATTTCTAAAGAAAACAGAGGTGGTGGGGGTGGGTGTGCAGTAAGTTTTCACGGTGATGATGCCTGGTGCCATTCCCACGGGATGCTGCAGACAGTCCCTGGATTCTAGAGGCATCACTGCTATTTTATTATGTCCTTTACCCTGAAAGTCTCACAGAGAACCACAAGGAGGCAAAGCATTGTCTGGACGCTGTCTGACTTGCTTGATGGGGCACAGATGGTGTGTTCTGTCTGGGAGGAGGCAGAGATGACAGGCCCATAGCAGTGTTGTTGGGGCAGGAGAAAAGCCGAGACTCCCACTGTGGAGGGACCCTGCACCCTGCTGGTGCCGGCAGCCAGGCCACGTTGAGAGGTGGTCCCCAAAGTTCCTCCCTGAGCCCTGATCTGGAGGGAGAGCAGAAGCTGTGCTGAGACAGCAGGGCCCCCGAGAGGCCAGGAGTGCGGGCCTGGGGAACGCCAGGTCGCTCTGCGGGAGGCTTAGGAAGGAGGTGGAGAGGTCCTTTCCCCAGTTTGGGCGCTTTTCAGACAGGAGGAGCTGAACCAGCCTTTCGAGTGTTTCTAATCTTAAAACATTCCTATGTGGGTAAAGTGAAGTGACTTCCCAGTACTGTCAGCATTTAACTTTGTGTCCCATCTTGATTGTTTTCATCCAGCCACTGAAGATAAACCATGAGAACACTGAGATACGTTCACGGGATGTTTTCCTGTAACGTTTCATTGAACCTTTTTGTTGCTTAGCACTGAACTAACAGCAGTTTCCACCACCTTCCTTGCCCGTCTCCCCCCGTCCCCCCCCAAACCCACCTCACACAGCTTTTTTAAAGACCCTTCTAGACAGAGTTCTCAAGGAGCCAAGAATTAGACTTCAGACGGTACACAGCTTTTTGTTTGGGGAAGAACGCTTCGATTTAAAGCTGCCCCCTTTTCTGCAGTCATTTCATTTTAAAGAGCGGGGAACGCCTTGGTGCATGTCAGCAGCCTGTGGCATGTTACATCTGTCCTTGATATTTAAAATATTTGGCACCATTTTACTGTGAATCCATTTCTGACCTACACAGCATCAGCCAACAAATGCTTGCCTGGAATAAACCCAACACGTATAGGAAACTAAACACTGAGTTGTTTAAACTTTATAATGCGTGTGCAGCAAGAGGGATCTCAGATGGTCCCATTAATACTAAATGCTTTCGTGGCCTGGACGTGCACCCCAGAGGCTGTGTCCCCCTGCAGCAGGCCCCTGGAGCGAGCAGCGGTGACCTGCTGGTTCTGGTGCAGGCTCTGCTGCTCCTGTCAGCCCCGCTCTTGACCTGCCGCGTAGGTTTGTAAACGCCTGACTCTGGGTTTCCCAGAGTGTGCTCTGGGCTTAACGCATAATAGACGGCCAAGTAGGCTTGGACCACTCAGGCTTCATCAAAGTAGGTTTTTTTGTTTTGATCTCTTCTGTGGTAACTTCAGGAAGGCTCAAGTGTGGACTCTCCGGGCTGGCTCTGACTGATGCCTTCCAGGTTCCACAGAAGGCCTTTGCGAACACTCCCTGTAGGGTTTCTAAGGCTTGGTGAAGGTCCACTTCCCATGCGCGGCCTGTGCACTGGTGGTCTTGTGGCCTGGCAGTTTCCTCACCTGCCCCCCCCTCCCCTTTGTGGCCCCAGGGCAAATCCCCATCAGTAAACTGGGCATATCACCTTGCGAAGGCCCTGGGAGGTTTTTGTCCCTGGAAGCAGGTTTCTTCTGTGACTCCCATGACTGGCACCGTCCTAGGCACAGCGGGGAGTGCAGAAACACCTCCCTGCTGCAGGCCTTGTCCTCAGGGAGGCGTCCCCACCCAGCCATACTACCAGATGGTTCCGCCCACACTTGGGACCACCAGTATTCCTGGCACTGAGCTGAACCGGAACTGCTCCGACGAAAGGCAAATTGTAGCTTAAAGTTCCAGCCCCGATGCCTGGACTGTCTCAGATCGGTACTCCGAGTCAGGTAGGGGTGGGCCTGAATCCTGGTGCTAGACCTTGACAGTTGTGCAATTGCAGATTCATCACAGGACCTGTGTGAACCTCACCCACCTGCTGGCTGCACTGAGGCGAGAGCTTTGGGCAGTGCCTAGGGACCAGAGGGCCCTGGGAAGAGCCAGCCCTGATGGCGGGAGATAGCACCTGTGGAGATAGGGAAATGGGGCCGAGAGGCGATTTCTCAGCAAGGTCGCAGAGAAAGGACTGAGAACCCAAGGCAGTCGCGGCTGCCCCCCTCCTCTGCCCGTCTGCACACCTGCCCTGCCCGCAGTGCTCAACACCAGGCTTACAGTTAAAGGAATAAGTCGCTGGTTTACGCTGTGAGCAAGAAAGCTATTTTCAGACAGACGAGATTTCAGCCAGCCACAAATTCCATCACCTGGGCAACTGCCTGCCTTCTCGAGCAGGGCGGCTCTCTGCCATCTGCATGTGTGGGCATCTCAACACAGGGCTGAGGTGCGCGGCCTCCTGGGGGCTCCCCTGCCTCTCAACAGCCGTTGCCATCTTCCACGGGCCCACGGCCGAGTGGGCAACGTTCAGGGTGCTGGCGATAGGCCCGGCCCCTACAGAGCTGCTAGCCTGCGGGGAGCAGCAGATGAGCTAGCTGGTGTCCCCGACGTCAGAATCAGTTCCTCTGCTCAAAATAAAGGCCCCGTCTTTGTGGTGAGCTTCCTTGTCCCCAGCGATGGGGCCCTAAAGTCTTGCAGTGGACAGAGCAAGTAGGC